CACCACTTCTTCTACTTATCCAAGCTCCTCATCCGATTCAACCACCTCCTCCTCCGAAGCCACCACTTCAACTGCTTCATCTAGCTCCAGCACCAGTGAGGAAACAACCATGTCTTCAATCAGCTCTTCCACAGACACCAGCTCCTCTATAGGATCAAGTACCTCTTCAACGTCGGACACAACCACTTCTTCAAGCCTTTCCACATCATCCTTGGATTCCAGCACTTCTCCAACTACCACCACTCAGGACTCTACTCACTCAAGCTCACAAACCTCTTCAACTTACACCAGCTCCTCTTTGGAGCCCACCACTTCTACTTTCCCAAGCTCCTCATCGGATTCAACCACGTCTTCCTTCCAATCCACCACTTCTCCAACTGAGTCTTCTGTGGATTCGACTACAGCTAGCTCCAGCACCACTGAGGAAACAACCACCTCTTCAAGCTACTCCAGCTCCACCTCTTCCACAGATACCACCTCCTCTATGGAATCAAGTACCTCTTCAACGTCGGACACAACCACTTCTTCAACCTTTTCCACATCATCCTTGGATTCCACCACTTCTCCAACTACCACCACTGACCATTCTACTGACTCAAGCTCACAAACCTCTTCAACTTACACCAGCTCTTCTTCAGGCTACTCCTCATCCAGTTCCTCTTCCGAACCCACCACTTCTTCTACTTATCCAAGCTCCTCATCCGATTCAACCACCTCCTCCTCCGAAGCCACCACTTCAACTGCTTCATCTAGCTCCAGCACCAGTGAGGAAACAACCATGTCTTCAATCAGCTCTTCCACAGACACCAGCTCCTCTATAGGATCAAGTACCTCTTCAACGTCGGACACAACCACTTCTTCAAGCCTTTCCACATCATCCTTGGATTCCAGCACTTCTCCAACTACCACCACTCAGGACTCTACTCACTCAAGCTCACAAACCTCTTCAACTTACACCAGCTCCTCTTTGGAGCCCACCACTTCTACTTTCCCAAGCTCCTCATCGATTCAACCACGTCTTCCTTCCAATCCACCACTTCTCCAACTGATCTTCTGTGGATTCGACTACAGCTAGCTCCAGCACCACTGAGGAAACAACCACCTCTTCAAGCTACTCCAGCTCCACCTCTTCCACAGATACCACCTCCTCTATGGAATCAAGTACCTCTTCAACGTCGGACACAACCACTTCTTCAACCTTTTCCACATCATCCTTGGATTCCACCACTTCTCCAACTACCACCACTGACCATTCTACTGACTCAAGCTCACAAACCTCTTCAACTTACACCAGCTCTTCTTCAGGCTACTCCTCATCCAGTTCCTCTTCCGAACCCACCACTTCTTCTACTTATCCAAGCTCCTCATCCGATTCAACCACCTCCTCCTCCGAAGCCACCACTTCAACTGCTTCATCTAGCTCCAGCACCAGTGAGGAAACAACCATGTCTTCAATCAGCTCTTCCACAGACACCAGCTCCTCTATAGGATCAAGTACCTCTTCAACGTCGGACACAACCACTTCTTCAAGCCTTTCCACATCATCCTTGGATTCCAGCACTTCTCCAACTACCACCACTCAGGACTCTACTCACTCAAGCTCACAAACCTCTTCAACTTACACCAGCTCCTCTTTGGAGCCCACCACTTCTACTTTCCCAAGCTCCTCATCGGATTCAACCACGTCTTCCTTCCAATCCACCACTTCTCCAACTGAGTCTTCTGTGGATTCGACTACAGCTAGCTCCAGCACCACTGAGGAAACAACCACCTCTTCAAGCTACTCCAGCTCCACCTCTTCCACAGATACCACCTCCTCTATGGAATCAAGTACCTCTTCAACGTCGGACACAACCACTTCTTCAACCTTTTCCACATCATCCTTGGATTCCACCACTTCTCCAACTACCACCACTGACCATTCTACTGACTCAAGCTCACAAACCTCTTCAACTTACACCAGCTCTTCTTCAGGCTACTCCTCATCCAGTTCCTCTTCCGAACCCACCACTTCTTCTACTTATCCAAGCTCCTCATCCGATTCAACCACCTCCTCCTCCGAAGCCACCACTTCAACTGCTTCATCTAGCTCCAGCACCAGTGAGGAAACAACCATGTCTTCAATCAGCTCTTCCACAGACACCAGCTCCTCTATAGGATCAAGTACCTCTTCAACGTCGGACACAACCACTTCTTCAAGCCTTTCCACATCATCCTTGGATTCCAGCACTTCTCCAACTACCACCACTCAGGACTCTACTCACTCAAGCTCACAAACCTCTTCAACTTACACCAGCTCCTCTTTGGAGCCCACCACTTCTACTTTCCCAAGCTCCTCATCGGATTCAACCACGTCTTCCTTCCAATCCACCACTTCTCCAACTGATTCTTCTGTGGATTCGACTACAGCTAGCTCCAGCACCACTGAGGAAACAACCACCTCTTCAAGCTACTCCAGCTCCACCTCTTCCACAGATACCACCTCCTCTATGGAATCAAGTACCTCTTCAACGTCGGACACAACCACTTCTTCAACCTTTTCCACATCATCCTTGGATTCCACCACTTCTCCAACTACCACCACTGACCATTCTACTGACTCAAGCTCACAAACCTCTTCAACTTACACCAGCTCTTCTTCAGGCTACTCCTCATCCAGTTCCTCTTCCGAACCCACCACTTCTTCTACTTATCCAAGCTCCTCATCCGATTCAACCACCTCCTCCTCCGAAGCCACCACTTCAACTGCTTCATCTAGCTCCAGCACCAGTGAGGAAACAACCATGTCTTCAATCAGCTCTTCCACAGACACCAGCTCCTCTATAGGATCAAGTACCTCTTCAACGTCGGACACAACCACTTCTTCAAGCCTTTCCACATCATCCTTGGATTCCAGCACTTCTCCAACTACCACCACTCAGGACTCTACTCACTCAAGCTCACAAACCTCTTCAACTTACACCAGCTCCTCTTTGGAGCCCACCACTTCTACTTTCCCAAGCTCCTCATCGGATTCAACCACGTCTTCCTTCCAATCCACCACTTCTCCAACTGATCTTCTGTGGATTCGACTACAGCTAGCTCCAGCACCACTGAGGAAACAACCACCTCTTCAAGCTACTCCAGCTCCACCTCTTCCACAGATACCACCTCCTCTATGGAATCAAGTACCTCTTCAACGTCGGACACAACCACTTCTTCAACCTTTTCCACATCATCCTTGGATTCCACCACTTCTCCAACTACCACCACTGACCATTCTACTGACTCAAGCTCACAAACCTCTTCAACTTACACCAGCTCTTCTTCAGGCTACTCCTCATCCAGTTCCTCTTCCGAACCCACACTTCTTCTACTTATCCAAGCTCCTCATCCGATTCAACCACCTCCTCCTCCGAAGCCACCACTTCAACTGCTTCATCTAGCTCCAGCACCAGTGAGGAAACAACCATGTCTTCAATCAGCTCTTCCACAGACACCAGCTCCTCTATAGGATCAAGTACCTCTTCAACGTCGGACACAACCACTTCTTCAAGCCTTTCCACATCATCCTTGGATTCCAGCACTTCTCCAACTACCACCACTCAGGACTCTACTCACTCAAGCTCACAAACCTCTTCAACTTACACCAGCTCCTCTTTGGAGCCCACCACTTCTACTTTCCCAAGCTCCTCATCGGATTCAACCACGTCTTCCTTCCAATCCACCACTTCTCCAACTGATTCTTCTGTGGATTCGACTACAGCTAGCTCCAGCACCACTGAGGAAACAACCACCTCTTCAAGCTACTCCAGCTCCACCTCTTCCACAGATACCACCTCCTCTATGGAATCAAGTACCTCTTCAACGTCGGACACAACCACTTCTTCAACCTTTTCCACATCATCCTTGGATTCCACCACTTCTCCAACTACCACCACTGACCATTCTACTGACTCAAGCTCACAAACCTCTTCAACTTACACCAGCTCTTCTTCAGGCTACTCCTCATCCAGTTCCTCTTCCGAACCCACCACTTCTTCTACTTATCCAAGCTCCTCATCCGATTCAACCACCTCCTCCTCCGAAGCCACCACTTCAACTGCTTCATCTAGCTCCAGCACCAGTGAGGAAACAACCATGTCTTCAATCAGCTCTTCCACAGACACCAGCTCCTCTATAGGATCAAGTACCTCTTCAACGTCGGACACAACCACTTCTTCAAGCCTTTCCACATCATCCTTGGATTCCAGCACTTCTCCAACTACCACCACTCAGGACTCTACTCACTCAAGCTCACAAACCTCTTCAACTTACACCAGCTCCTCTTTGGAGCCCACCACTTCTACTTTCCCAAGCTCCTCATCGGATTCAACCACGTCTTCCTTCCAATCCACCACTTCTCCAACTGATCTTCTGTGGATTCGACTACAGCTAGCTCCAGCACCACTGAGGAAACAACCACCTCTTCAAGCTACTCCAGCTCCACCTCTTCCACAGATACCACCTCCTCTATGGAATCAAGTACCTCTTCAACGTCGGACACAACCACTTCTTCAACCTTTTCCACATCATCCTTGGATTCCACCACTTCTCCAACTACCACCACTGACCATTCTACTGACTCAAGCTCACAAACCTCTTCAACTTACACCAGCTCTTCTTCAGGCTACTCCTCATCCAGTTCCTCTTCCGAACCCACCACTTCTTCTACTTATCCAAGCTCCTCATCCGATTCAACCACCTCCTCCTCCGAAGCCACCACTTCAACTGCTTCATCTAGCTCCAGCACCAGTGAGGAAACAACCATGTCTTCAATCAGCTCTTCCACAGACACCAGCTCCTCTATAGGATCAAGTACCTCTTCAACGTCGGACACAACCACTTCTTCAAGCCTTTCCACATCATCCTTGGATTCCAGCACTTCTCCAACTACCACCACTCAGGACTCTACTCACTCAAGCTCACAAACCTCTTCAACTTACACCAGCTCCTCTTTGGAGCCCACCACTTCTACTTTCCCAAGCTCCTCATCGGATTCAACCACGTCTTCCTTCCAATCCACCACTTCTCCAACTGATTCTTCTGTGGATTCGACTACAGCTAGCTCCAGCACCACTGAGGAAACAACCACCTCTTCAAGCTACTCCAGCTCCACCTCTTCCACAGATACCACCTCCTCTATGGAATCAAGTACCTCTTCAACGTCGGACACAACCACTTCTTCAACCTTTTCCACATCATCCTTGGATTCCACCACTTCTCCAACTACCACCACTGACCATTCTACTGACTCAAGCTCACAAACCTCTTCAACTTACACCAGCTCTTCTTCAGGCTACTCCTCATCCAGTTCCTCTTCCGAACCCACCACTTCTTCTACTTATCCAAGCTCCTCATCCGATTCAACCACCTCCTCCTCCGAAGCCACCACTTCAACTGCTTCATCTAGCTCCAGCACCAGTGAGGAAACAACCATGTCTTCAATCAGCTCTTCCACAGACACCAGCTCCTCTATAGGATCAAGTACCTCTTCAACGTCGGACACAACCACTTCTTCAAGCCTTTCCACATCATCCTTGGATTCCAGCACTTCTCCAACTACCACCACTCAGGACTCTACTCACTCAAGCTCACAAACCTCTTCAACTTACACCAGCTCCTCTTTGGAGCCCACCACTTCTACTTTCCCAAGCTCCTCATCGGATTCAACCACGTCTTCCTTCCAATCCACCACTTCTCCAACTGAGTCTTCTGTGGATTCGACTACAGCTAGCTCCAGCACCACTGAGGAAACAACCACCTCTTCAAGCTACTCCAGCTCCACCTCTTCCACAGATACCACCTCCTCTATGGAATCAAGTACCTCTTCAACGTCGGACACAACCACTTCTTCAACCTTTTCCACATCATCCTTGGATTCCACCACTTCTCCAACTACCACCACTGACCATTCTACTGACTCAAGCTCACAAACCTCTTCAACTTACACCAGCTCTTCTTCAGGCTACTCCTCATCCAGTTCCTCTTCCGAACCCACCATTCTTCTACTTATCCAAGCTCCTCATCCGATTCAACCACCTCCTCCTCCGAAGCCACCACTTCAACTGCTTCATCTAGCTCCAGCACCAGTGAGGAAACAACCATGTCTTCAATCAGCTCTTCCACAGACACCAGCTCCTCTATAGGATCAAGTACCTCTTCAACGTCGGACACAACCACTTCTTCAAGCCTTTCCACATCATCCTTGGATTCCAGCACTTCTCCAACTACCACCACTCAGGACTCTACTCACTCAAGCTCACAAACCTCTTCAAACTTACACCAGCTCCTCTTTGGAGCCCACCACTTCTACTTTCCCAAGCTCCTCATCGGATTCAACCACGTCTTCCTTCCAATCCACCACTTCTCCAACTGAGTCTTCTGTGGATTCGACTACAGCTAGCTCCAGCACCACTGAGGAAACAACCACCTCTTCAAGCTACTCCAGCTCCACCTCTTCCACAGATACCACCTCCTCTATGGAATCAAGTACCTCTTCAACGTCGGACACAACCACTTCTTCAACCTTTTCCACATCATCCTTGGATTCCACCACTTCTCCAACTACCACCACTGACCATTCTACTGACTCAAGCTCACAAACCTCTTCAACTTACACCAGCTCTTCTTCAGGCTACTCCTCATCCAGTTCCTCTTCCGAACCCACCACTTCTTCTACTTATCCAAGCTCCTCATCCGATTCAACCACCTCCTCCTCCGAAGCCACCACTTCAACTGCTTCATCTAGCTCCAGCACCAGTGAGGAAACAACCATGTCTTCAATCAGCTCTTCCACAGACACCAGCTCCTCTATAGGATCAAGTACCTCTTCAACGTCGGACACAACCACTTCTTCAAGCCTTTCCACATCATCCTTGGATTCCAGCACTTCTCCAACTACCACCACTGAGGACTCTACTGACTCAAGCTCACAAACCTCTTCAACTTACACCAGCTCTTTTCAGGCTACTTCCTCCTCCAGCCCTCTTCTGAACCACACTTCTCTACTTTCGAAGCTCCTCATCAGATTCAACCACGTCCTCCTTCGAAGCCACCACTTCAACTGATTCCTCTGTGGATTCAACTGCTTCATCTAGCTTCAGCACCAGTGAGGAAACAACCATGTCTTCAATCAGCTCTTCTCCAGATACCAGCTTCTCTATAGGATCAAATACCTCTTCAACTATGAACACAAGAACTTCTTCAACCTTTTCCACACCATCCTTGAATTCAACCACTACTCCAACTACCACCACTGAGGACTTTACTTACTCAAGCTCTTCCATAGGCTCACAAACCTCTTCAAATACACTAGCTCTTCTTCAGGTTACTCCTCCAGCTCCCTCTTTGGGGCCCACTTCTACTTTCCCAAGCTCCTCATCAATTCAACCATGTCTTCCTCCAATCCACCACTTGCAACTGATTCTTCTGATGGATTCGACTACAACTAGCTCCAGCACCACTGAGGAAGAACCATGTCTCAATCTACTCCAACTCCAGCTCTTCCATAGACACCAGCTTCTTCTATGGGATCAAGTACCTTTACAATTCGAACACACCACTTCTTCAACTTTTCCACGTCATCCTTGAATTCAACCATTCTCCAACTACCACCACTGAGGACTCTACTTACTCAAGCTCTTCCATAGGCTCACAAACCTCTTCAAATTCCACCAGCTCTTCTTCAGGCTACTCTCTCCAGCTCCTCTTTGGAGCCCACAATTCTACTTCCCAAGCTCCTCATCAGATTCAACCATTTCCTCCTCCGAAGCCACCACTTCAACTGATTCCTCTGTGGATTCAACTGCTTCATCTAGCTCCAACACCAGGAGGAAACAACCATGTCTTCAATCAGCTCTTCTCCAGACACCAGCTCATCTATAGGATCAAGTACCTCTTCAACTACGACACAAACCACTTCTTCCTTTTCCACATCATCCTTGAATTCAACCACTTCTCCAACTACCACACTGAGGACTCTACTTACTCAAGCTCTTCCATAGGCTCACAAACTCTTCAAATTACACTAGCTCTTCTTCAGGCTACTCCTCCTCCAGCTCCTCTTTGGAGCCACACTTCTACTTTTCCAAGCTCCTCATCGGATTCAACCACGTCTTCCTTCCAATCCACCACTTCTCCAACTGATTTTCTGTGGATTCGACTACAGCTAGCTCCAGCACCAGTGAGGAAACAACCACTTCTTCAATCTACTCCAACTCAGCTCTTCCATAGACACCAGCTCCTCTAAGGATCAAGTACCTCTTCAACTACGAACACAACACTTCTTCAAGCTTTTCCCACACCATCTGAATTCAACCACTTCTCAACTACCACACTGAGGACTTACTTCTCAAGCTCTTCCATAGGCTCACAAACCTCTTCAACTTACACTAGCTCTTCTTCAGGCTACTCCTCAGCTCCTCTTTGGAGCCCACAACTTTACTTTCCAAGCTCCTCATCGGATTCAACACGTCTTCCTTCCAATCCACCACTTCCCTGATTCTTCTGTGGATTGACTACAACTAGCTCCAGCACCACTGAGGAAGGAACTATGTCTTCAATCTACTCCAACTCCAGCTCTTCCATAGACACAGCTTCCTCTAGAGATCAAGTACCTCTTCAACTACGACACAACCACTTCTTCAACCTTTTCCACGTCATCCTTGAATTCAACCACTTCTCCAACTACCACCACTGAGGACTTTACTTACTCAAGCTCTTCCATAGGCTCACAAACCTCTAGCTACACTAGCTCTTCTTCAGGCTACTCCTCCAGCTCCTCTTTGGAGCCCACCAACTTCTACTTCCCAAGCTTCCTCATCGGATTCTACTACGTCTTCCTTCCAATCCACTTCTCCAACTTATTCTTCTGTGGAATCGACTACAGCTAGCTCCAGCACCAGTAAGGAAGCAACCATGTCTTCAATGTACTCCAACTCCAGCTCTTCCATAGACACCAGCTCCTCTAGAGGATCAAGTACCTCTTCATCTACGGACACAACCACTTCTTCAACCTTTTCCACATCATCCTTGATTCACCACTTCCAACTAACCACCACTGAGGATCTACTTACTCAAGCTCTTCCATAGGCTCACAAACCTCTTCAACTTACACCAGCTCTTCTTCAGGCTACTCCTCCTCCAGCTCCTCTTTGAAGCCCACAACTTCTACTTTCCCAAGCTCCTCATCAGATTCAACCACGTCCTCCTCCAAAGCCACCACTTCAACTGATTCCTCTGTGGATTCAACTGCTTCATCTAGCTCCAAAACCAGTGAGGAAACAACCATGTCTTCAATCAGCTCTTCTCCAGACACCAGCTCCTCTATGAGATCAAGTACCTCTTCAACTACGAACACAACCCCTTCTTCAAGCTTTTCCACATCCTTGAATTCAACCGCTTTTCCAACTACCACCACTGAGGACTCTATTTACTCAAGCTCTTCCATAGGCTCACAAACTTCTTCAAATTACACTAGCTCTTCTTCAGGTTACTCCTCCTCCAGCTCCTCCTTGAAGACCACTTCTACTTTAACAAGCTCCTCATCGGATTCAACCACATCTTCCTTCCAATCCACCACTTCTCTAACTGATTCTTCTGTGGATTCGACTACAGCTAGCTCCAGCACCACTGAGGAAGGTACTATGTCTTCAATCTACTCCAACTCCAGCTCTTCCATAGACACCAGTTCCTCTATAGGATCAAGTACCTCTTCAACTACGAACACAACCACTTCTTCAATCTTTTCCACATCATCCTTGAATTCAACCACTTCTCCAACTACCACCACTGAGGACTTTACTTACTTAAGCTCTTCCATAGGCTCACAAACCTCTTCAAATTACACTAGTTCTTCTTCAGGCTACTCCTCCAGCTCCTCTCTGGAGCCCACCACTTCTACTTTCCCAAGCTCCTCATCGGATTCAACCACGTTCTCCTCCGAAGCCACCACTTCAACTGATTCCTCTGTGGATTCAACTGCTTCATCTAGCTCCAAAACCAGTGAGGAAACAACCATGTCTTCAATCAGCTCTTCTCCAGACACCAGCTCCTCTATAGGATCAAGTACCTCTTCAACTACGAACGCAACCACTTCTTCAAGCTTTTCCACATCATCCTTGAATTCAACCACTTCTCCAACTACCACCACTGAGGACTCTACTTACTCAAGCTCTTCCATAGGCTCACAAACTTCTTCAAAATTACACTAGCTCTTCTTCAGGCTACTCCTCCTCCAGCTCCTCTTTGGAGCCCACAACTTCTACTTTCCCAAGCTCCTCATCGGATTCAACCACGTCTTCCTTCAAATCCACCACTTCTCCAACTGATTCTTCTGTGGATTCGACTACAACTAGCTCCAGCACCAGTGAGGAAGCAACCATGTCTTCAATCTACTCCAACTCCAGCTCTTCCATAGACACCAGCTCCTCTAGAGATCAAGTACCTCTTCAACTACGGACACAACCACTTCTTCAACCTTTTCCACATCATCCTTGAATTCAACCACTTCTCCAACTACCACCACTGACGATTCTACTTACTCAAGCTCTTCCATAGGCTCACAAACCTCTTCAACTTACACTAGCTCTTCTTCAGGCTACTCCTCATCCAGTCCCTCTTCTGAACCCACTTTTTCTACTTATACAAGCTCCTCATCGGATTCAACCACGTCTTCCTTCCAATCCACTTCTCCAACTGATTCTTCTGTGGATTCGACTACAACTAGCTCCAGCACCAGTGAGGAAGCAACCATGTCTTCAATCTACTCCAACTCCAGCTCTTCCATAGACACCAGCTCCTCTAGAGGATCAAGTACCTCTTCAACTACGAACACAACCACTTCTTCAACCTTTTCCACATCATCCTTGAATTCAACCACTTCTCCAACTACCACCACTGAGGACTCTACTTACTCAAGCTCTTCCATAGGCTCACAAACCTCTTCAACTTACACTAGCTCTTCTTCAGGCTACTCCTCCTCCAGCTCCTCTTTGAAGCCCACAACTTCTACTTTCCCAAGCTCCTCATCGGATTCAACCACGTCCTCCTCCGAAGCCACCACTTCAACTGATTCCTCTGTGGATTCAACTGCTTCATCTAGCTCCAAAACCAGTGAGGAAACAACCATGTCTTCAATCAGCTCTTCTCCAGACACCAGCACATCTATGAGATCAAGTACCTCTTCAACTACGAACACAACCCTTCTTCAAGCTTTTCCACATCATCCTTGAATTCAACCACTTTTCCAACTACCACCACTGAGGACTCTATTTACTCAAGCTCTTCCATAGGCTCACAAACTTCTTCAAATTACACTAGCTCTTCTTCAGGTTACTCCTCCTCCAGCTCCTCCTTGAAGACCACTTCTACTTTAACAAGCTCCTCATCGGATTCAACCACATCTTCCTTCCAATCCACCACTTCTCTAACTGATTCTTCTGTGGATTCGACTACAGCTAGCTCCAGCACCACTGAGGAATACTATGTCTTCAATCTACTCCAACTCCAGCTCTTCCATAGACACCAGTTCCTCTATAGGATCAAGTACCTCTTCAACTACGAACACAACCACTTCTTCAATCTTTTCCACATCATCCTTGAATTCAACCACTTCTCCAACTACCACCACTGAGGACTTACTTACTCAAGCTCTTCCATAGGCTCACAAACCTCTTCAAATTACACTAGTTCTTCTTCAGGCTACTCCTCCAGCTCCTCTTTGGAGCCCACCACTTCTACTTTCCCAAGCTCCTCATCGGATTCAACCACGTTCTCCTCCGAAGCCACCACTTCAACTGCCTCTGTGGATTCAACTGCTTCATCTAGCTCCAAACCAGTGAGGAAACAACCATGTCTTCAATCAGCTCTTCTCCAGACACCAGCTCCTCTATAGGATCAAGTACCTCTTCAACTACGAACGCAACCACTTCTTCAAGCTTTTCCACATCATCCTTGAATTCAACCACTTCTCCAACTACCACCACTGAGGACTCTACTTACTCAAGCTCTTCCATAGGCTCACAAACTTCTTCAAATTACACTAGCTCTTCTTCAGGCTACTCCTCCTCCAGCTCCTCTTTGGAGCCCACAACTTCTACTTTCTCAAGCTCCTCATCGGATTCAACCACGTCTTCCTTCCACTCCACTTCTCCAACTGATTCTTCTGTGGATTCGACTACAACTAGCTCCAACACCAGTGAGGAAGCAACCATGTCTTCAATCTACTCCAACTCAAGCTCTTCCATAGACACCAGCTCCTCTAGAGGATCAAGTACCTCTTCAACTACGGACACAACCACTTCTTCAACCTTTTCCACATCAACCTTGAATTCAACCACTTCTCCAACTACCACCACTGACGATTCTACTTACTCAAGCTCTTCCATAGGCTCACAAACCTCTTCAACTTACACTAGCTCTTCTTCAGGCTACTCCTCATCCAGTCCTCTTCTGAACCCACTTTTTCTACTATACAAGCTCCTCATCGGATTCAACCACGTCTTCCTTCCAATCCACTACTTCTCCAACTGATTCTTCTGTGGATTCGACTACAACTAGCTCCAGCACCAGTGAGGAAGCAACCATGTCTTCAATCTACTCCAACTCCAGCTCTTCCATAGACACCAGCTCCTCTAGAGGATCAAGTACCTCTTCAACTACGAACACAACCACTTCTTCAACCTTTTCCACATCATCCTTGAATTCAACCACTTCTCCAACTACCACCACTGAGGACTCTACTTACTCAAGCTCTTCCATAGGCTCACAAACCTCTTCAACTTACACTAGCTCTTCTTCAGGCTACTCCTCCTCCAGCTCCTCTTTGAAGCCCACAACTTCTACTTTCCCAAGCTCCTCATCGGATTCAACCACGTCCTCCTCCGAAGCCACCACTTCAACTGATTCCTCTGTGGATTCAACTGCTTCATCTAGCTCCAAAACCAGTGAGGAAACAACCATGTCTTCAATCAGCTCTTCTCCAGACACCAGCACATCTATGAGATCAAGTACCTCTTCAACTACGACACAACCCTTCTTCAAGCTTTTCCACATCATCCTTGAATTCAACCACTTTTCCAACTACCACCACTGAGGACTCTATTTACTCAAGCTCTTCCATAGGCTCACAAACTTCTTCAAATTACACTAGCTCTTCTTCAGGTTACTCCTCCTCCAGCTCCTCCTTGAAGCCCACTTCTACTTTAACAAGCTCCTCATCGGATTCAACCACATCTTCCTTCCAATCCACCACTTCTCTAACTGATTCTTCTGTGGATTCGACTACAGCTAGCTCCAGCACCACTGAGGAAGGTACTATGTCTTCAATCTACTCCAACTCCAGCTCTTCCATAGACACCAGTTCCTCTATAGGATCAAGTACCTCTTCAACTACGAACACAACCACTTCTTCAATCTTTTCCACATCATCCTTGAATTCAACCACTTCTCCAACTACCACCACTGAGGACTTTACTTACTCAAGCTCTTCCATAGGCTCACAAACCTCTTCAAATTACACTAGTTCTTCTTCAGGCTACTCCTCCAGCTCCTCTTTGGAGCCCACCACTTCTACTTTCCCAAGCTCCTCATCGGATTCAACCACGTTCTCCTCCGAAGCCACCACTTCAACTGATTCCTCTGTGGATTCAACTGCTTCATCTAGCTCCAAAACCAGTGAGGAAACAACCATGTCTTCAATCAGCTCTTCTCCAGACACCAGCTCCTCTATAGGATCAAGTACCTCTTCAACTACGAACGCAACCACTTCTTCAAGCTTTTCCACATCATCCTTGAATTCAACCACTTCTCCAACTACCACCACTGAGGACTCTACTTACTCAAGCTCTTCCATAGGCTCACAAACTTCTTCAAATTACACTAGCTCTTCTTCAGGCTACTCCTCCTCCAGCTCCTCTTTGGAGCCCACAACTTCTACTTTCTCAAGCTCCTCAATGGATTCAACCACGTCTTCCTTCCACTCCACTTCTCCAACTGATTCTTCTGTGGATTCGACTACAACTAGCTCCAACACCAGTGAGGAAGCAACCATGTCTTCAATCTACTCCAACTCAAGCTCTTCCATAGACACCAGCTCCTCTAGAGGATCAAGTACCTCTTCAACTACGGACACAACCACTTCTTCAACCTTTTCCACATCAACCTTGAATTCAACCACTTCTCCAACTACCACCACTGACGATTCTACTTACTCAAGCTCTTCCATAGGCTCACAAACCTCTTCAACTTACACTAGCTCTTCTTCAGGCTACTCCTCATCCAGTCCCTCTTCTGAACCCACTTTTTCTACTTATACAAGCTCCTCATCGGATTCAACCACGTCTTCCTTCCAATCCACCACTTCTCCAACTGATTCTTCTGTGGATTCGACTACAACTAGCTCCAGCACCAGTGAGGAAGCAACCATGTCTTCAATCTACTCCAACTCCAGCTCTTCCATAGACACCAGCTCCTCTAGAGGATCAAGTACCTCTTCAACTACGGACACAACCACTTCTTCAACCTTTTCCACATCATCCTTGAATTCAACCACTTCTCCAACTACCACCACTGAGGACTCTACTTACTCAAGCTCTTCCATAGGCTCACAAACCTCTTCAACTTACACTAGCTCTTCTTCAGGCTACTCCTCATCCAGTCCCTCTTCTGAACCCACTTTTTCTACTTATACAAGCTCCTCATCGGATTCAACCACGTCCTACTCCGAAGCCACCACTTCAACTGATTCCTCTGTGGATTCAACTGCTTCATCTAGCTCCAGCACTAGTGAGGAAACAACCATGTCTTCAATCAGCTCTTCCACAGACACCAGCTCCTCTATAGGATCAAGTACCTATTCAACTACGGACACAACCACTTCTTCAAGCTTTTCCACATCATCCTTGAATTCAACCACTTCTCTAACTACCACAACTGAGGACTCTTCTTACTCAAGCTCTTCCATAGGCTCACAAACCTCTTCAAATTACACCAGCTCTTTCTCAGGCTACTCCTCATCCAGTCCCTCTTCTGAACCCACTTTTTCTACTTATCCAAGTTCCTCATCGGATTCAACCACGTCCTCCTCCGAAGCCACCACTTCAACTTATTCCTCTTTGGATTCAACTGCTTCATCTAGCTCCAGCACCAGTGAGGAAACAACCACCTCTTCAATCTACTCCAGCTCTTCAGAATCCTCCCAAAGCAGCTCTCCTTATGCAGGCTCCTCTTTATCTATCTCTTCCACAACTGCAAACACTTCTTTCGGATCAAGTGCTCTGTCGACTCTCCCTGTATACCCTACGGACTCTTCCAGTTCTGTGAATTCAGCTACTCCAACTAGCTCCAGCACCAGTAAGGAAACAACCACGTCTTCAATCTACTCCAGCTCTTCAAAATCCTCCCAAAGCAGCTCTACTTATGCAGCCTCCTCTTTATCTAGCTCTTCCACCGAGCCCGCCATATCCTCAACAATTGCAAACACTTCTTTCGGATCAAGTGCTCTGTCGACTCTCACTGTATACCCTACGGACTCTTCCACTTCGTTCACCTTTATAACAACACCCCTAGATTCGACCACTTATTCAGCTTATTTCAGTTCAAGTACTCCCTTTTCAACCACTTCTGCGGTATACCCCAGTTCTTCCACAGATTCGTCCGGTGGCATGGCAGATGATAACGTTTATGTAGTCGTGGTTATAATAATTGTTGGATTAATATTGGCCGCGATCTTAGCTACCTGCTGCTTTTTCTTCTTTTTCGTTTTCAAGCGGAAACACCCTGTTCAGGTAAGATTTTTTTCGTTAAGTTTTACATTTATATTATATATATTTATATTTCTTTATGTTCATGTGCGTATTGCTTGTGGGTGGGTTTATGTATGTGTAATTCCATCTCTCTCTCTCTCTATCTATCTACCTCTCCCTCTCTCTCTCTGTCTGTCTGTATGTCTCTCTCTCTCTCTCTCTCATCTTCAAACACACACACACACACACACACACACACACACACACACACACACACACACACACACACACACACACTCACACACACAGACACACACACACACACACACACACACAAGCTTTTTTTATGTAATTATTATCGTTTATTATGGAAGTGAATATTTCCTGATTGCGGTGGTCTGCTCCTAACGGTAACCCTAACGATATGACATTAATATTGAGTCAAAGTTGTTGCCAGCTGTCTCATTTTATCAGGATTTGGTTTGTATAAACAAAAAGGACATCTTCGCAGGTAAACCAAAGAAGGAAGTTTTTTTTTTTTTTTTTTTTTTTTTTTTATCTTAAAACCCAGGGACACAGACATTGATCTGCTTTGCTTTGCCTAAACGGAGATAAATTCATTCTTCGAGTTCTTGCGTATGGCTGAATGACTAGCACGCATTTTAACAGTGTGAGAACATATTAAAAAAATCAGGCAGACTGTTATTCCCTCTGGATTCACATGCTCCTTCGTGCAAGCATTATTTAAACACATCTCTTAGCCGGATAGCCGCAGAATGACCGTACGTTGTTTACTAAATCTGATACCTTATCCGTCAACAGGATCTCGAAGAACAGATACCCGGAGAGGTTTCTGATACATATACCGAAGAGAGTGGCTCGCTGTATGAAATATCTATACCAAGAGCTAATCTCGTCCCTTTCACCCGCCAACTGACTCCGTGGGGCGTCCAGAATCCTGCGACCATCTCAGACGACGAGACCGAAGACCTAGACTTACCTGAGGACCGTGGACGCAATCCTTACGCCCTTGGCCAGACGAATCTTAACGAGTTTAGTCTGGAAAGATTCCTGAGGGATATTGAGGATACCCAACCTCCTACTCTTTCAGAATCCTTCAGTCTCCCCAGACTGTAGAGATAGTTTTTGATACCGCGCCGGTGTCCAACTCAGTTATATTTCTGTGTGTATTCATGTAAATAATACGACGGAGGGTAGAGCAAGAAAGCACACGAATATTACAAAGATTTTTTTTTTCATTTTTTCCCTACAATTTGTTGATTCAGAATTTGTGTGTGTGTGTGTTTGTATGTATGTATAGTTGAATCAAAATTAAATTAACGAATTTCCTATCAGCAGAAATGTAATTCATGATAGATGATTTTCATTCCTATAGATATACTTGTGTTGAAAACTCACAATCATTGAATGTACATACTTTAGGCTTATGGAATCTGCCAGATCACTCTCGCGGTCACGTAATTATTAGTTAATTATCATCACTTCTGCAAACTGTACGAGGATCGCAATCCACAGAGAAGTGAGGCTTGGTATGGAGAGCCAGGAGATTGAGGACAAAGCTCTGAATGAACACGGGATGGAGAACTGAAATCTTGCTGAAGGATTTTCCGCTAGTTATGAGCATGAACCTTGTATTAAGAACAGATTTTAACATTCAAAAGAGCAGATTCCACCAACGCGTCGCAACGTTCGCAAAGAATGGCCATTTTTAATGTAAAAACAGATATTCTGGTTGGCCAGAATGACACCACTGTTGACTTGCACAAGCACTTTGATCACTGAGTTTACAACACATGGTGTCACATCAATCTGCTGTTTTCGTACTAATACGTCCCGAAAAAAAAAAAAAAAAAAAAAAAACGTACAGGGTTGTTCTGTCTCTCCATGTGGCGAGATACTAGCAGAACCAGTGCATGTCCTCAATTTCCATTTAACTATACCTGCTTCATCGCATCTCTCTCTTTCTCTCTCTTTCTCTTTCTCCCTTCTCTCTCTCCCCTTCTGTCTCTGTCTCTCTATACCAATATGTCTTCTCTTTTGGATGATGCGATCTGTTTTGCAGTTCTGATGGCAGAATCTCTCTCGTTATTTAGATGCTATCACCTGCTTTAAAGGTAAGCTCATGCAGTGTTTTTCATGTATTTTTCATATTTATTGTTGAGCTATACGTACATACATGCATACATACATTTATATATGTGTGTGTGTGTATGTTTGTATATGTATATCTATGGGTGTATGTGTGTGTGTGTGTGTGCAATAGTTAGAAAATATAAGTATTAATGTAATAAAGGTTTCAGTGCTCTTGTTATAACCACTTTTATTGATTTTGTTGTTATTATAATGTTTATATACTTGACCATCTGTTACATACGTGATATCAATATAAATTTTGACATAAGCAGTATTATCAATTGCCTTATTTATAGTTCTCTTTTTTGTCAGAAGCTTTAATTAGAATAGTTTGGATTAACTTATTAATACCCTTGCTGTAATTACTGCTAACATCATTATACTGTTGATTATGATTATTTCCAGTATTTGTGTTTATACCATGATCATCAAACTTGTGTTACCATGACAATAAATACATGGTGGAAATAATAATTACCGAATTTTGGAGTATTATAAGTGCTCCATTTTAGCAAATAAAATTCTTGACCTGTTCTTTAAGTTTCATTTGCTTCCCTCACAAATACTTGAAAAATATAGCATTTTTGAAAAAAAGTATAAAAAAATAATAACAATTGATACGTTTTCCTAAGTTACTGTGACAAAAGGTTCAAGCCCGTTCTTTCTGGACGCAATGTTATCCATTTTAAGGGAGAACTACGTACATCATTCGGAAACAAATGAAATGAATATTTACCTATCGATCTGTTAATTCATCTATCTATCTACATGTCTATCTATCTATATATCAATCTATCTATCTATCATCTATATATATATACATATCTATCTATTACAACACACACACACACACACACACGATAATTAGTATAAATATATATATATATAATATATATATATATATATATCATATATCTATCCATCTACATATCTATCTATCTATATATATCTATCTACATATCTATCCATCTACATATCTATCTATCTACATATCTATCTATCTACACACACCACACACAACACACACACACACACACCCCACAACAACACACACACACACACACACACACACACACACACATACACATATATATAATATATATATATATATATATATATATATTATATATATATTATATACAATATTCTACATTCTATCCATCTACATATCTACCAATCTACATATCTATTCTATCTACATATCTAATCTATCTAATATCTATCTATCTACATATCTATCTATCTACATATCTATATATCTACATATCTATCTATTACATATCTATCTACATATCTATCTATCTACATTCTATCTATCTACATATCTATATATCTACATATCTATCTATCTACATATCTATCTACATATCTATCTATCTACATATCTATCTATCTACATATCTATCTATCTACGTATCTACGCACCCTCCCGGACCAGTATGGAGTACGGCACTTTTCGACGAGATCTCGGGTGTGCAGTGCGCACTGGTGGGCAAAAGATCAACGATGGACGCTGAATCAGCTGTAAGAACGATGTCAACCTACTACATCTCTCCGGTTTAGTTGCTAAAAACGTCATGATTAAAAAACTTAAGGTACAGAAAGCTTACCAGGTCCTTTCTCTCTCTCTGATGGTTGGTCTGAAGGCCCCAATGGTTGGCCCATGTTAGTTTTGGTGATAATTATCTGTACTTATTACACACGCCAGGTAAATACACAAAAGAAGAGTTGAAAGCCTACAAATCACTCGAAGCTTTCGAGTAAGTATTTGGTAGTCAACATACGAAAAAAATCTGAATACAGCTATCTGTATTTGCTGGGCCATACTAATTGTTTGGTTGACCGACCTTTATACAAACACCTGGTGTTTACACATAAAAGAAATTAAAGGCCTACAAAATCTCTGGAAGGGTACAAGTACTCAATATTGCTTATAATAAGACTGGTTCGTAATCGTAGGATTAACTTCTCCTGAACTCATTTTGTTCCCATTTATTGCCTTACGACCTTTGTTAAGGGAAAGTTTAAAAATCAAATTAACTGAAAACTTAAAGTGAAAGATAATAGTAACCAGTCACCCAC